ATTCAAATGCTGAACTGGAAGGAGCAAAACGTTGTAAAGTCACTGCTTAAGGAAATAATACCTAGGTTTGGACTCCCCCAGGGCCTTTCAAAGTGACAATGATCCAGCTTTCACACTGGCCCTAAGAAAGGGAATAGCACAAGCTCTCCAAATGAAGTGAGTCTTATATTCTTCATGGAGCCCACAGTCCTCAGGAAAAATGGAATATTCTATAATAATAAAAGGGTAATATGCTAATTAGACCCGACGTCTTCCGGACGTTATTCCGGATGTCCTTCCTGACAAAGCCGGAGCCGAAGGAAGCCAGCCTGGGTCCCAGGTGCCTGTGGGTGGCCTGGGGAAAGCCAGCTGGGGTCCCAGGTGCCTGCCTGCAGCTGGAGGAGGGAAGCCCGGGTCCCGGGTGCCGGAGGGAAGCCAGTGCCGGCAGCCAGGGGAAGGAACGCTTACTCTTGCATGAATTTTTGTGCACTGGGCCTCTAGTGATGTAATAAAATACTCAGAAAGACCTTGGCCAAACCCTGCCAGGAAACCCATGAGACCTGGCTTAAGTAACCACCAATTGCCCTGACCCAGATCAAGGCAGTGCCCAAAGGAATGATTAAAGTAAATCATTTTGAACTTATGTATTATAGGCCCTTTTTGGGTTCCTCTCAAATTTTAGGATACCCGGACCCATTTATAACACAGGCTGTTAAACATATTATTCAACTAGGAAAGGTAACAACACAAATAAATATGCTAATTTGATTTTATTCATACCATAATACTAAGCTATACCCATATGATCCAGGGAACTGGGTATACTTTAAAATCTGGAAATCAGGATCCCTGCAAGACCAACCAAACCCAATATGGACAAGTCCTCATTTGGTGTTATTCACAGTTCATTCTCCTAAACTACAAGATATAGCTTCGTGGATACATTCCTCTAGGGCAGTGGTTCTCAACCTATGGGTCGCGACCCCTTTGGGGGTCGAACAACCCTTTCACAGGGGTCGCCTAAGACCATCGGAAAACACATATATAATTACATATTGTTTTTGTGATTAATCACTATGCTTTAATTATGTTCAATTTGTAACAATGGAGGAGAATCGAAGATGGCGGCATAGGTAAACACCGGAGACTGCTGCCGCAACAACCACTTCAAAAATACAACTAAAAGACGGAACGGACATCACCCAGAACCACAGGAAGGCTGGCTGAGGAGAGACTCTTCAACTAGAAGCAAAGACAACAGCATTAGGAGGCTCAGAGGAGGCACAGTGTGGAAAATTTAAAGGTACGAGGGTGTGCGCACAAAGCGGGCTGGTGGCTGAGGGCGCGGTTGTAGTTTTCAATCAGGAGGGAGTCGCAGACTCTGAGCTCCAGATCCGGGCGAGTCTCTAGGGACCCAGACTCAAACGGGAGAAGCGGGACTGTCTGGCTACGGTCCCTCCGAGGTTTGCAGCCGTTGCTGGGACAGAGAGGCAGAGCCCCTGGGGACGGACTGAGAGCAGCCATAACTGCTCCCCCTCCCCCCCCGCCGCCCGCCCTGTTGAGCCCGTGCGACCCGCCCCGCCCAAGCCCTGCGAAGAGCCATTTGCCGGATCGCCTCAGGCAAAGGCTAGATTAGTACCTCCCCAGAGGACAGAAGTTTTCCACACAGCTGATTCTCACAGCCAGTCGGCCTGGTGGTCAAATCCCTCTAGCATTAACTACAACAATTAAGGCTTAACTAGAACAAGACTGCGCACAAAGACCACAAGGGGGTGCACCAAGAAAGCATAAAAGATGCGGAGACAAAAAAACATGACAGAAATGGAGGATATGGAGCTAAAAAACGCAATTTTGAGGGCTTGCAATAAACTTGAGCAGAGCCTCACGAAAACTAATGAGACCCTCCATGCTACGATAAAGAAACTAGAAATTAAGCATACACGGACTGAAATAAAGAATGTTATACCCAATAGCAGACCAGAGGAGTGCAAGAATCAAGCCAAAGAATTGAAATGCGAAGAAGCAAAAAACACCCAACCGGAAAAGCAAAATGAAAAAAGAATCCGAAAGTGTGAAGATAGTGTAAGGAGCCTCTGGGACAGCTTCAAGCGTACCAACATCCGAATTATGGGGGTGCCAGAAGATGAGAGAGAGCAAGATATTGAAAACCTATTTGAAGAAATAATGACAGAAAACTTCCCCCACCTGGTGAAAGAAATGGACTTACAGGTCCAAGAAGCGCAGAGAACCCCAAACAAAAGGAATCCAAAGAGGACCACACCAAGACACATCATAATTAAAATGCCAAGAGCAAAAGACAAGGAGAGAATCTTAAAAGCAGCAAGAGAAAGAAACTCAGTTACCTACAAGGGAATACCCATACAACTGTCAGCTGATTTCTCAACAGAAACTTTGCAGGCCAGAAGGGAGTGGCAAGAAATATTCAAAGTGATGAATGCCAAGAACCTACAACCAAGATTACTTTATCCAGCAAAGCTATCATTCAGAATTGAAGGTCAGATAAAGAGCTTCACAGATAAGGAAAAGCTAAAGGAGTTCATCACCACCAAACCAGTATTATATGAAATGCTGAAAGGTATCCTTTAAGAAGAGGAAGGAGAAGAAAAAGGTAAAGATACAAATTATGAACAACAAACATGCATCTATCAACAAGTGAATCTAAGAATCAAGTGAATAAATAATCTGATGTACAGAATGAACTGGTGATTATAATAGAATCAGGGACATAGAAAGGGAATGGACTGACTATTCTTGGGGGGGAAAGGGGTGTGGGAGATGCGGGAAGAGACTGGACAAAAATCGTGCACCTATGGATGAGGACAGTGGGTGGGAGTGAGGGCGGAGGGTGGGGTGGGAACTGGAAGGAGGGGAGTTATGGGG